ACTCACACAAGGTCCTTAACTTCTGAGGGGACAATTTAACTTCAGTCTCCTGAGAAGCCTTTCTTAAAGTTCTTTAACATGCACTCTAGTAGTGTGGGTTTTGACTCTCTTCCTCCCGTCCTCCCACACAAGTCTCACAGACTTTCACTTCAGACTGAACGCTGTCTCCTGTTATGGGAGTTTTCTGCCGGCCCCTTAGCTAGGAAAGTACCTTATTCCTGTCACAGTCAGCTGCACCTGGGGGGGAGCTCCTGTCAGCTGTATGCAGTCAGCCCTCTAGTAAATCAGCCCTAACTCACTGCGGAGCATGCAGTCCATACTAAGGGATCTGTGCCTCCCCACTTCACGCCCTGTGTTGGCTCCTTCCTTACCTGTCTCTTTTACACACTTGCACAATCCTCCTCCTCTCCCTCTATAAACCTACTCAATGAGTCACCCCTGTTTGGTGTGGGATGTGAGTTTCATCCAAATCAGGGAGTCAGTCTCACTTCCCCCAGCCTTTCTGGGTTGAATTAATAATAGTCACTTCCTGGGAGTTGATCAGACTCCCCTTCTACTCTCTTGGGGTGGGCTTTTCTTTTCCTTAAATGCCTTACCGTAATTCCTGAAGTATGTTGGTCCTGGAGATCATCTTGCAGCCCCTTCCAAGGTTCTGATGCACTGTTTGGGAGTGGGCACTGGGGCATGAAGAGAGCCAGTCTCCTATCAGGGATGCAGTCCTCCCAGTGGCACCTAGGGTTGCAGGTCTCCCATGGCCCAGGGCCTTGGTCCCACCGGTGAAGGAGACAGTAAGCCTGCCGTCTCCAGTCCCTGTTCCAGCACCAGAAAATGTAGCAGGAAATCAGAGATCTGGAGAGACCAATGGGGTTGCAGGAGAATTTTATTTAATGTGATCATGGGCTTAGTGGAATTGCTTCCTAATTCTGAGCAAAAGACAGAAAATGGGATGTCTTTATGCACCTGGGTGGTATAGGATGATGAAGCAGAAAGCAAGTTTACAGATGCCAGAACAAAGAGCAGTTAATTTTGATGTATATTACATTTGAAGAGTAACAGTTTGAGAAACACATTTCACAGTTACAGGTTTATCTGCTTTGTGACCTTGTACCTGGTCATCAGGAGAACCAGGGATTTCTAGATGCCTGGAAACTTTGCTAAGAATGTAGGGAGAATAGATAAGGTTCAGTGGTTTGCAGGAAGGCAGTTATTCTGCCTTAAACACAGCTGGAGGCATTAAACAGCACATAACACAGCAAAATTTACTTTATTATATAGCCACTACAAATTATAAGGTTTATTGCTCTTTAATTTCCTTCAACTTTTCAGGTATACTGATCAAAGGTAGATTTGGTCATATTTCTCAGAGACTTTGTATATTTCTTTTCACTCTAATCTTGTCTTCTCGATTTATTTTAGAGTTGATCTTTGATCTCTGATATCCTTTCTTCTGGATCAATTCAGCTATTGAAACTTGTGTATGATTCATGAAGTTCTCATGCTATGTTTTTTAGCTCCATCAGGTCATTTATGTTCACTCTAAACTGGTTATTTAGCATTTCATCTAATCTTTTTTCAAGGTTCTTAGCTTTCTTGCATTGTGTTAGAACACATTCCTTTAGTTCAGAGAAGTTTGTTATTACCCATCTTCTGAAACCTGCTCTGTCAAGTCATCAAACTCATTCTCCATCTGCCCTTGCTGGTGATGAGTTGTGATCCCTTGGAGGAGAAGAGGAGGCATTCTTGTTTTTGGAATTTTTAGCCTTTTTGTTCTGGTTTCTTCCCATCTTTGTGGATTTATCTACCTTTGTTCTTCAAAGTCAGTGACCTTTGGAATGGGTCTCTGAGTAGATGTCCTTTCTGTAGATGTTGAGACTATTTCTTTCTGTTTGTTAGTCTTCCTTCTAACAGGCCCCTCTCCTGCTGGTCTGCTGGAGGTCCACTCCAGACCCGGCTTGCCTGGGAATCACCCGCAGGGGCAGTAGAACAGCAAAGATTGCTGCCTGTTCCTTCCTCTGGTAGCTTTGTCCCAGCAGGTTACCTGCCAGATGCCAGCCAGAGCTCTCCAGTATGAGGTGTCTCCCAGTCAGGATGCATGGGGGTCAGGGAACCACTTGAGGAGGCAGTCTGTCTCTTATCCGAGCAGGAACGCTGTGCTGGGAGAACTGCTGCTTTTTTCACAGCTGCCAGGCAGGTACATTTATGTCTGTTAAAGCTTTGCCCACAATAGCCCCTTTTCCCAGGTGATCTGTCCCAGGAAGGTAGGACGTTATAAGTCCCTACTGGGCTGCTGCCTTTTTTCAGTGATGCCCTGCCCAGAGAAGAGGGAGTCTAATGACAGTCTGCCTGCAGAGGCATTGCTGAGCTGCCATGGGCTCCACCCAATTCAGATTTCCCAGCAAGTTTGTTTACGCTGATGTTAAAACCACCTACTCGGGCATCAGCAATGGTGGATGCCCCTCCCCACCCAGAGCTCGAATGTCCAAGGTCAAGCTTAGACTGCTATTACTGGCAGCAAGAATTTCAAGCTAGTGGAACTTAGCTTGCTGGTTTTTGTGGGGTGGGACCTGTTGAGCCAGATCACTTGGCTCCCTGGCGTCAGCCCTATTTCCAGGGGAATGAATGATTCTGTCTCGCTGGTGTTCTAGGCACCACTGGGATATAAAAAAAATCTGCTACAGCTGGCTTGGTGTCTTCCCAAACAGCTGCCCAGTTTTTGGTTGGAAACCCAGGACTCTGGTGTTATAGGCACCAGAAGGAATCCCCTGATCTGCAAGTTGTAAAGACTGTGAGAAAAGCACGGTATCTGGCTGAAGTGCAAGTGATGACTGTTTTGTTTCCCTAGGCTAGGAGAAGGAGTTTCCCAGCCCCTTACACTTCCTGGGTGAGGAAACAGCCCGCCCTCCTTGGGCTGCATCCACTGTCCAACCAGTCCCAATGATATGAACCAGATTTCCAATTTCTCAGTTGGAAATGCTGAGATCACCTGCCTTCTGTGTTGATCTCTCTGGGAGCTGTGTACCAGAGCTGTTCCTATTAGGCCATTTTGCCAGCAACCTTTTTTTTTTTTGAGATGGGGGTCTTACTGTCATCCAGGCTGGAGTGCAGTGGCATGATCACAGCTCACTGCAGCCTGGACCTCCTGCACTCGGGTGATCTTCCCACTTCAGCCTCCCAAGTAGCTGGGCCTACAGGTGCTAATTTCTATTAATTGTAGAGACAGGGTCTCACCACATTGCCCAGGCTGGTCTCAGATTCCTCGGTTCAAGTGATCCTCCCATGTTAGGGTTACGGGCATGAGCCACTGCACCCAGCCAATCCTTGGTACTATTATAAGTTACGTTTTTCATTAGTATCATCAGAACATTGTGCCTCATATATATAATTTAAAATCACCTATCATTCTTAAGTATAACTGTTAATGTTTTAACTAGTCTTCCTCTCCCCCAGTATAGCAGCCACCTATTTGGAAATGTTTTGTTGGTTTGTTTGAATAATAGCCACTCTTTTCATTATTCTCAAAGAAGTACAGTTTGTCAAAGGACATACAATTTGTCAAAGGGAAGTCTACTTAGATATTGTTCATACTTCCATCTCATTTGCATCCCTAGATCTGATACACATTAACATCCAGAAAGAATGAAAAAAAACCTTGAAAGCAAAAATTGAAATGTTAATTTTTAAAAATATGTTATTTAGGTAATTATTAGACATTGTCTCTCTGTTCTTACCCCAAACACACACTTACCATGGCTACTCTTCTCCTACTTTGGAGAAGGTTTTAGTTAAAGGTTTAATTCTGCAGTGATTTCTTGTCTCTTACATTGTTGTCCTTTTTTTGGTTTTCATTTATCACCAGTCAGTAATTTTCTAACAAATAAGGTAGGACAGGGCAAAAATAACAAATTTTGCCTACTTGGATCTTTTTTTAATCCAGTCGTCTCTTAGTATCAGGACCTCGAAGGATACCCAGAATCTGATGCTCAAATCCCTTATATAAGTTGGTGTACTATTTGCATAACTTATGCACATCCTCCTGTATATTTCAAATCATATATAGATTGCTTAGAATATCTAATATAACATAGACACTGTGTAAATAGTTGTTATACTGTATTTTTTAAATCTGTATTTTTTTTTTTCCTGAGTATTTCAATCTGTAGTTGGTTTAATCTAAGGATGTAGAACCCTCAGATGCAGAGGCAACTGTATAGTTCATGGACCAGGCTGGCAAACTTTCTATGTAGGGCCAGAAAGTAAATATTTTACACTTTCTGGGCTACATAATCTATCACATTCTTGTTTTATTTTTCAGCCATATAATTAAAAATACTTAGTTTGAGAGTAGTTAAAAACAGGGTAAGCCAGGTTTGGCCAAAGTTTGCCAATTCCTGGACTAGTCTGCTGAATCTTTAAAGCTTATGTAAAATCATGATTGCCATGACTTTGAAAAAATCATGACTGTAGCTGGGTGCGGTGGCTCACATCTGTAATCCCAACACTTTGGAAAGCTGAGACGGGTGGGTTGTGAGGTCAAAAGATTGAGACCATTTGGTCAACATGGTGAAACCCTGTCTTTACTAAAAATAGAAAAATTAGTTGGGCATGGTGATGTGCACCTGTATTTTCCAGCTACTTGGGAGACTGAGGCAGGATAATCCCTTGAACCCGGGAGGCAGAGGTTGCAGTGAGTCAAGATTGTGCCAGTGCACTCCCTGGTGGCAGAGCAAGACTCCATCTCAAAAGAAAAGAAGATAATAACTAAATCCTGTGAACTAGTCGCTAATAAAGAAATTTTTGTTGTTTTTAAGCTTGAATCCTAAACAGAAAAATTATCAGATTGCCACTCTGAATTAGAGTGCTGCAGATTACTACCCTACGTGGCATAAATTGTACTAGTACAAAAAGTCTTAGGAGGAAAAAAACCCTTTATAGTCTCCTTACCTTTGAAGACCAATTTATTCTCTGTGTAGATAATCTTCTATATCACTTATTTCTTTCAGCTGACCTCAAGAGAATTTGCAAGACAATAGTTGAGGCTACAAATGACGAGGAGAGACTAAAAGCTTTTGCTCCCATTGAGGAAATGATGACTTTTGTGCAGTTTGCTAATGATGAATGTGATTATGGCATGGGGCTTGAGTTGGGAATGGACCTCTTTTGCTATGGCTCACATGTGAGTAAAAAAACTCCACCTGCCACCCACTGCCCCACCTCCTTCCTCTACCCCCAACACACATGAATACATGCACATTTATACCCCCAAATTCCAGCAGAGCTAAGATAGAGATTCAGCTTGTATTTCAAAATGAATTTTTTGAAGTGATATTTTTTAAAGCATATGTCCTAAAAGTATTTGAAATTCATCTTATATTCTAGCAAAGATAATAACCAAAATTATTTGCATTCAGGCTTACATTAAAGTGAATTTACTTATTAGGCACATTATAGGGATATGCCTTCTTGCTGTGTGTATAGATTTGGGGCTATGTATGGGGATGTGTGCACACACTTTAGGCTCCATTGTAGTGGGGGTATTTGTTATTGTGCTTGAAATCTTAGATGAAAAATACACTTTAAAAATTGTTTAAGCTTTGTAAGAGATACTGTTTTACCATTAACTAATTGCTCATTAATAAGAAAATTTCACTTAATAGCTAAACCTGTGCTTACTCAACCATAGTTGTCTGAAAGTCAGAGACAATAAGGTATAGCAGGCATGACATGCTTGTGGGGCTAAACTGGTTGTAAATGACATCTTCCCCAGTGTGTAAGATTGGGCAAGCTTTCCAACACCTTTGTATCCGTTTCTTTACCTGTAAGCTATGTCTGCACACCCGTTCGCAGAGCATTTAATTCTCATTTAACCTACTTAGTAACTAAGTCACAGAGAGGCAAAGCATCTTGCCCGGGTTGACAGGAGCAGTCTGGTTCCAAAGTCAGTGCCTAAATGAGTGCAGTAATTCTCAAACTATAAAATGCATGTGACTTACCTGCAGATGTTGTTAAAATGCACTCTATTGGCAGGTCCAGGATTAGATCTGAGACTGAGTATCTGTCATGCTTCCAGGTGATGGTAATGCTGCTGCTCTTCAGACCACAGGGGAAAGAGCAAGACTAAACCAGTAGCTTTCCAGCTTTAGCATGCATCAATTGGGAGGGCTTGTCCAAACACACACTGGCACTCTTCCCCACCCTCCCCAAGTTTGAGATCTAGGGTAGGTCCTGAGAATTTGCATTTCCAACAAGTTACCAAGTGAAGTTGATGCTCCTGGTCAGGGGTGCACAGTTTGAGAACCCTGCTGTAAACCATCTTATACTACTATTTGCCAACCTCATAATTATCAGTAAAAGTAATCAAAATGTTTAACAGCCAGAATGACAGTCATCAACCAATCCAAATGGTGCTTGACCTGCTAAAGAGGCCCTAACCATAAACAGAGCCATAAGATGTGAACCAGTGAATAGCAAACTTGATTGTTATGAGAATGAAATCACGTGTAAGAGTTATAAAAAGATTTCGCACAGGCTGGGCACGGTGGCTCACGCCTGTAATCCCAGCACTTTGGGAGGCCAAGGCAGGTGGATCACGAGGTTAGGACATTGAGACCATCCCGGCCAACATGGTGAAACCCTGTCTACTAAAAATACAAAAATTAGCCAGGTGTGGTGGCGGGCGGCTGTAGTCCTAGTTACTCGGGAGGCTGAGGCAGGAGGATCACTTGAACCCAGGAGGCAGAGGTTGCAGTGAGCTGAGATGGTGCCAAAAAAAAAAAAAAAAAAAGATTTAGCACAGTACTTACCACATGTTAAGGGCTAAATGTATGATCAACAAAAAGGTGGTATATGTAGATAACAGTAATGTAAAATCTTTTGATAAACCTAAGGCAGTGGCTCTTAACAGGGATTGGGAGGTGGTACATGTTGGGGATTGGGGAGAAGGAATTTGAGGATAAAGGAAATACGATCTGAAAACTCACTTTCAGCATAGCTATTGTTACAGAATCCAGGAAAATAAAGCTTAAACTTTTGATTAGAAATACACTGGAGAGAATAAAACGTATTACGGGCATAGTTCGGGGTGATACAAAATTGATAAAACCTATAGAAAGAAGAAAACTCAAATTTAGTTTTCTTAATTTTCAAAATATGCCATTAGTCTTCTAGAGCAACAAGATTGCCTCTTAGAATGCCAAGTGCCTGTCCCTAAATTGTGTTCACTTATCACTTGAGAGTGTAGCTAAAATGATTTTGGAAGTAGCCTTTGTTAAACAAGTGCTTTTTTTTTTTTTGATGTTTTCTGCTACTTACTAGGATATCTGCTATGTTCTCTACTTCATGTTATTTTTCAGTATTTTCATAAAGTTGCTGGTCATCTTTTACCTCTTGCTTATAAACTGTTGAAGAGGAATCTGTTTGCAGAAATCATTGAGGAACATCTGGCAAACAGAAGTAAAGAGAACATAGACCAACTTGCTGCATGAGTAAGAAGGCTTATTTGGTGTACAATATTTCAAAGGACTAATATTAAACTTGGGATTTTTGTTTTTAAGGAATACAAAAAATAAACATTTACTAAAAATATTTATATGGTTCTTCTGCCTGGTTTTCCTTCTTTAATGTGCAAGCAAGTGGCAGTCAAATCATCTAAATGGTCATCCTAATCACCCTTTGATATTGTCAGAGGAAGCCACTGTCTAATGCCTATGGTTAACCAGACCATCCTTAGAGTCTTGTTTCAGTATTTATCTTATGGGCAACTAAGAATATTTCTTCTGAGTGAGTCTTCGGTTAACGGCTGTAGCTTTAAGGATTGGGTTTATGGTGGGTGAGGAGGGGAACAGAAGGAAACTCTGCAATCAGCACTCTCCCAGGGTGCCTGACCGTGACCTACCCAACTTCATGGATGGGGCTGAGGAATGTATAAGCTTTTTTCCCCTTTCTATGAAGTTCAAGGTAGAAAAGCCCCCAGGTCATCTAGTTAAACCTCCACATTTTGTAAGATTGACTGCATTTACTCAACTTCTTGACTAGCCAGTAGTTCCCCAAAGTTTTACTGTCAGCTGTCTCCTTAAAATATATTTGGGGTACTTATTCTTTTTTATGTAAGCGTATGAGTAGACTATTAAAAGACAACACTTGGAATTTTAAATATAAGTAGCCTTCCTCATCTTCCCAATTAGGCTGCAAGCTTCTTAAGAGCATATATTTTATGGATATATAGCCCACTCAGTAACACAAACTTTTGGAATTGTACTTACTGAATAAATAGACCTGTCACATCTTCCTAAGTGCAAGACAGAATCAAACTGTCAAGAGCTGAGAAACTGGTAAGGTGCCTGGGAGTTAAGGATTCTTGACTTCTCAGACAAAAAGTCTTCTGGGGTCAAAAATCTCTGCCACACCCAAAATCTGTTCCTTTTCTGCCAATGACTCATGCATTTGGAGGCAGGTAAGATGCTTTCTTCAAGGTACGCATATTTGTATAATATCTTAACCAAAATGAAACTGAAAAGATCTTCAGCTTTCCTTTTATAACCGTACAGGAAATTTTACAGCTCTAATGGAGAGGTCTCATGTTTTAAGGAACTGCCATTTTAGTTAGGTAAGTACCTCCAAGCCCTGGAACCATCAAACTATTAACTTGTTTTAGATTAAAATATTACAGTAACAATTAGCTCACACATATTAGAAAAGGTGGCCAAAGCACATTGGTCTTAATTTTAGACCATAAATTTTAAATAAAATTTTAGAAGTTCAAGCTTTGTTCCTCAGATTTCTTTATTTTCTAAGGTGTTCAACTATTTCTAAATACTGCCCCTAATGTTAACACTTTTAAAATATTCAAATTCATGTATCGCCCATTAAAGATTTGTTTAGCTAGAAATATTCGATTCCTTTAATTTTGCCACTTGGTGATCCAACAGTCTCAACTGTGTAGTTTGTAAATTTTTTATATGCCTTATGATCAGTAATACGGATTCCAGAAAGATTTCTTATGAAGAAACAAGTGAAAGAGGACAAAAAAGGTGAACTGGCTTTTCATCCTTTCCTTACAGAAACCTTATGTGAACGTGTATTTCAGGAAGCTGAGTATATTAGAGCCAAGATAGAAATTGGACACAAACCCTAAGAATATGGTGGTTATAATTCAGATATATAGTTGTGAATGGCGTTTCCTAAAGACAGCAACAAAAAATGTGGATTCCCAGTCTCAACTCCAACCAGTTTTGTCAGAGGTCTACTAACCTGCTTCAGGAGGTACCGATCTTCCAGCTTTTGAACACTTTTCATTAAAGAACAAGCTCCCTACAACAAGATGCCAGACCTTATCTTTTTCCTTCACTAAAGGCATAGTCCTATTAAACCTAGTGAACTAAATATTAGCTACCTAGGATCTGGTCACTCAATGGCTATAGTAGATTCCAAATGGCATCTATCTACCTCTATTCTCTGAGAACACGGTTTAAGTGCCTAGGCTCTTTCATGAATGAAGAACCTTGATCCAATCAGGATTTAACAAAATCCTTACCCAGTTCAAATTTAGCTAAGCTCACCTCTCAGAGTTCAATAATGGAGTTTCCATATAACCTCTCAAACATGTATGTAGAATAACACCCAAGGAAAAATGAAAGCTACAAGACAGATTGCTATAAACTACTTGGCACTGTCCTAAGACCTTGCATTACCTCAAACACTGACCTTAACAGCTTAATACCATTCTGTCCAAACTTCCTATAATAATTTTAACATCTGGCTGGGCGAGGTGGCTCACATCTGTAATCCCAGCACTTTGGGAGGCCAAGGTGGGCAGATAGCTTAAGCCCAGGAGTTTGAGACCAGCCTGGGTAACATGGTGAAACTGTCTCTACTAAAAATACAAAAAAATAGCCAGATGTGGTGCACACGTGTGGTCTCAGCTACTCAGGCAGCTGAGGTGAGAGGATTGCTTGAGCCTGAGAGGCAGAGGTTGCAGTGAGCCAAGATCATGCCACTGCATTCCAGCCTGGACGTAATATCTATGCAGTTGATCTCTACAGTAGTAACCTCTCAGTTCCTTGACTTAGTCTTTCAGTGATCTAGATTAGGGGTTGATTGACAAATTAGAAACTAGTACCTTCACAGTACCAATAACAAAAACCTCCCAGATCTCAATTTCAAGCATCCTACTGTCTTAACATCATCACTCATCCTTTCCATCTCTTTCCCTCTAGTACCCCAATAATTTTTCAATACAGCAGTCCCCTACAATTCACAAATGTGACCACCTTTTTCATTCTCCCACTCCATTCCTGATTCTCTCCTTACCCAGCCTTTGGATTCTATTTAACATCATTACAGTCGCTCCTATATCCTCTACTCCATTGCCCTTCTCTCCATTTGTTTTATTTATCTGTTAATCTTAAGCCACATTTTTAAAACTGCCCATTCTTTACCTGAGTTTGTTCAGTAACAGTTGGCTGGAGAAAAAATACAACCATGGCAGCTCATCTTACTTTAACCTCAAGTTGGCCATGCTGGATGTCCATCAATCCTACTTCCTCATCTGTCAGCCCCTAACCACCACCCCCCCACCGTGCCCCGCCATCCTCAGTTTATTTCACTGAAAAAATAGAAGCAACCAATAACTTCAACAGAATCCCACTGCCTTACCAACTACCCATTATACATCACCTTTCCTCCTTTCTATGAAGGTTGAATGTGTGTCCAAGACCCCATCCTCCTTTGTCTACTCAAGCACCTCTCCTCTTATTTTTCCTCTCAAACATTCCTATCATTAACAAAAAAGCTATAATTTCCTGCATCTTAAAGCTATCACACATTACTCTTCTGAAAACCTCATAGAAATGCAATGGTTGTCTTCAATTCTTCCAATCTCTGTTGGACCCACTCCTTTCAGGCTTTGGCTTGCCAACACAATGCTGAACCTGCTCTGGGGGAAGTTATCAGTTATCTCCACATTGGTCCATTTTGGGCCCTCATTTATTTCATCTATCAGCAACACATGACAGTTAATCATCACTCCTTGAAACTACCCTTCTTTTTTGAGACAGGCTTGCTCTGTCACCCAGGCTGGAGTGCAGTAGCACCGTCATAGCTCACTGCAGCCTCCCAACTCCTGGGCTCAAGCAATCCTCCTACCTTAGCCTCATAAGTAGACTACAGATACATGCTACTGTGTCCAGATGATACTTTATTTTCTAGTTTTTTGTAGAGACCTGGTCTATGTTTCCCAGGCTAGACATGAACTCCTGGGCTCAAATGATCCTGTCCCCCCCAGCTACCTGAAGTGCTAGATTTACAGGCCTGAGCCACCACACCCAGCTTATGTTTTAATAAATCCACCAGTGATACCCTTCTTTAAATGGTATTCACTACTCCCAACCCAGCCTCGCTAGCTCCCTCATTTGCGGGCTTCTCACCTCCCCACATTTAAAAGTAAGCATATGTCAGTGCTGGGTCCTTGTACCTCATCTCTGTCTGCACTCAGCCCATGGTACTGTCCTGTCTCAGGATGATGCCACCTAGTGTAGCTCTCGGGTTGTGAGCCTTTCTCCTGATTTTGAGTCTGATACATGCTGATGCCTATATGACACCCCCAATTGGAAGTCTAAAAGAAATTTAAAGCAATGTCTAAAACCAAAACTCCTCTGCACACAGCACCCCACCCCCAAATCTCTTCTTAAAAGCCTTTCCTACCTCACCCAGTGGCCATTCCATTGTTCTGTCATTACTTCAGCCAAAAAGTGTGCAGACGTCCTTGAGTCCTCACACCACATTCCACGTCCAATCCATTCCCAAGTCCTGTCTATTCCGCCTTCATGTCTAGAATCCAACCACTTTCACCACCTCCACCAGCTTCAGTCAGGTTCAGATTTCCTTATCTCGCCTGAATTATTCAAGAGCCTTCTAGGTGGTCTGCTTTCACTCCTGCCCCTTATAATCTGTTCCAACAAAGGAGTCCAAGAGATCATTTTAAGTCAGATTGTGTGACTTTACTGCCTCACTGGCTTCTCATTTGAAATAAAAATCAAACCCCTACACCCCCAATCTCTTTCCTTACCACTTTCTTCCCTATCACTCTCCAGCCACAGTGACCTACTCAGTGTTACTTGAACCTAGCAGGAGACTCCTACCTTTCTATATAGCATTTTCTCTTCTTACAACATTTTTTCTCACAGATAAATGTCCTTCTCTCACTTTCTGTAGGTTTCTGCTCAAATCTTTCTTATCTCTGAGGCTTTCCCTGATCACCCTCTCTAAAAATGGGGTGGGTGTACACAGGCACACATCTTCACTTTTAGAAAGACTATTACAGTGAGGATTCTTGACTGATTTTTGTACATTCATATCAGTGTGCAGCACATAAAAATCACTTTTTAAAAATTGCTGAACTAAACCACATTTATCATCATCTGACATACTATAGATTTCTCTTCCTGCTGGAATGAAAACTTCAAGAACACAATAGTGCCTAGCGCCCAGTAATTGTCCAGAAAATAATCGGTGAATATAAATGATCTACTCTGGACTTTTAGTGTGTTCTTTTTACTGAAAGCTTAATATTAAGAGACCACATCTTA